TCAGAATCGTTGCTATGTTTGAGCCCATTGTTGTAGCCACTGTGTCAGTCCATCTCTTTGAGGGTCTTCCTCTCTTTCACTGACCCTCTGCTTTACCAAGCATGATGTCCTTCTCCAGGAACTGGTCCCTCCTGATAACATTTCCAGAGTACGTGAAACAAAGTGTCACCATCCTTGCTTCTAAGGAGCATGCTGGCTGTACTTTTTCCAAGACAAATTTGTTCCTTCTTCTGGCAGTCCATGGTATATTCAGTATTCTCCGCCAACACCATAATTCAAAGACAAATAGAAACATTATAAAAAATTAACCATTTTACCAATTGTACAATAAGGAACAAGGCTTATCTAAAACAGGTCTTAAAGAAGAGGAGATATGCTTTGACAAGTTGGAATGGTTTTGGTGGTGCAGAATATTTGCCTTAATAACTTGATGTTATTAAGTTATTAATAAGAGATGGTAAGAAGATTCCCTAATTAAGCAGAAACTCATGTAGCTGGTGAGATGTGATTAGTAATAGTGTTTTCCATTGAAGAGCAAATTCTCCTTCAGAATGCATCCAAACCAGATCCTCTCCCTTCCAAAGGAAAGTCACTGGGGGAGGAAATCATGATAAACTACATAATACATTTTTTTCTAAGTTGTGTTTTTGTTGCTTTGTTTTCAGACTACCAGTGAACCTTCTGCCCCATCCTGTGATCTCCTCGACCTAAGCCCCAGCCCCCCAACTCCTAGGGCCACTCTGGGAGAACTCAGCACCATGAATGCTCAGCTTTCAGACTTAAGTAAATAAGCACTCAGGCCTTTTCAGACCAGCAGAAGAGCTTCTCCTTGGTTTCATAATTAAATGCCACCTGAGAAGGATTGAAGTCAGTTTGAATATCAGAGAACTGTATCGGGAGATGTAATTCCTTCCTAGCCGATGGTTGGGTCAAACCCAATACAAGAATGGGATGTGTCTGGGGGAGGAGGTCCTTGAAAATCATCCCACTGGCTTAGAATCTCAGTTTATCTGACTGCTCTGTAGAGGTTGTTCAACTCCATGGCCAATGCTTAAGGCTACTCTGAACGCATGCACTATTATCTTTGGGTTTCTCTGTTATGCCACAGCATCAGGTAAGGGAATATATGATGAAATCAGATGATGGAGAAATCCAGGAATTACAAGGCCTAATACATGTGGTGGTGAAGTGTAGAGGGTAGAACACAGGCTTTAGAATCAGAGAAGTCCAATTTGAAATCCCAGCTCTGCCACTTCTTAGCCAACCTAATCTTTGAGACCTCCTTCCTTTATAAAATGAGAACAATGGTTGCCTTATGAGATTGCTGTGAAGGTAAATGAAGTAATGTTTATAAGTTGCATTGTAGGCTTAGGGTTACCTATCTTATCTCTCTTATTTTTTGTCTTCTACTATCCTTATTCCCAAAAAATTTTGGTAAATTACAAAATAAGGATGATGAAAGATGCAGAATTTCAGAAGGTTTGCCAAACTGAAATCAGTTTATTTTTCTCTGAAGGATTTTTCCAGGGCCATAATATTCAATATCACTGAGTTTGTGGATTTTTTAAAATAATTTCTCCCATTTCTAAAATGTTGGCTACTTGCTTATATGGGCCAATGGAATGTGTGTGGTTCATTACGTTGGAGAGTTTTCTTAGGTTTTTATCTGGAATTTTCAGAGGGAGAAAAGAATTATTCCTTTTGGGATGCCTCACTTAGAATTGTAGGAAGTTAAGAGCTGGGGGTGGGGTGGGTGGGTGTCAATGTAGAGCTCTGAATATACCAGTCAGCATTTTACTTTTGTGCTTGACAAAACACAAAAGTAAAATGCTGACTGGTATATTCACATGTTAAAATCTTTTCAGTTCTGGATTAGTTTGGGATTGTAGAAAACCCAAAACAATAGCATTTGCTACGTTTATAACAACCTCTTGGAACATGGAATTTCTTTCCAGCTGCCATGAATGATGATTTTTTATTTTTTAAGGAAGTCTCATGGTTTTATGGTGACAGAAATTTCTAAATTAATCTCTTTAATTTGGTTATTTTTCACTGTGAAAGATCCAGCAGAACAACTAACTGACAAAATGTTTTAAAACCAACAAATTCATTTTGTGTTCCAGGTTTTAGATCTCCAAGTCCTGTTATGAAAAACAATGTGAACCCCAGTCGTCATCCACAGGCAGACTTGCTAGCCTCGGAAAATACAGAAACACCCTTGTAAGTATGTCAGTAACACTACAGAACTAATACCATATCATTCTCATTACTTATATTTAAGAAAACAAGGCATAATAGAAAAAGTACAGACTTAGAAAACCATCAGACCTGAGTTACAATCTCAGCACTACATCCTACTAGCTGTATGACCTTGGTTGAGATACTTAACCACTGTGAACCTTCATTTTTCTCCTAAGTACTTCCTAGGATTCTTACAAAGATTCAGTGAGATACTGTATATGAAACTCCTAATATAGCATTTGGTACATAATAAGCCTTCAATAAATTGTCTCTGTGTCTATTATTTTTTAGTGGTAACTGGACATGGGTAGGGGACAGGAATGCGGGGACACAGGAGAGGGAAGAGAGGTGAGGTTCAAAATTGTAACAGTAATGGCCACACCAATGACAGGTCACTTGTCATGTGCCAGGCACTTTGCTCAGCTGTTTTTGTTTATCTTATTTAATCTTCACAAAGTTCCTGGGTCGGTAATATTATTATTTGCATTTTGCAGAAGAGGAGTCTGAGATCTAGAAAGGGAATAGAACCTGCCAGAGTTAATATAGCTAATAAGTGGCAGGTCTGATGAACTGATAGTCTACCAAAAAAGAAGTATACATGACCCATAAACATGTACAAAGATGCTCAGCCTCACACATAGTAAGAGGAATGTAAATCAAAATACAGTAAGACATAATTTTTTCATCTGTCAGATTGGTAAAAATCCAAACATTTGCTAGCATACAATTTGTTGGCTGTAGAAATACAGATATTATCACAAAATTATGGAGCCTTACGAGGGGCAAGTGACAATATCAAAATTATAAGTGCATTTACCTTTGAACCTACAGTTTCAGTTCTAGGAATTTATATTGCATTTATACAAAATAAAGTATTTACAAGATTATACATTACAGCATTTTGTGCAATAGCAAATAATTGGAAATAGCTCAAGCATCAATTAGTTGGTAACTAGTTAAACATTTACTCAGTGTACTACTATACAGTTGGAATAAAAGAGTAGGTTGTCTGTGAGGGACAATCACCAATATATTTGTTGTTTTGTGAAATAAGGTGTAAAGCAATGTGTGTATACTATGTTGCATTTGTCTATGAAAGCAGGAATAAGATATATATTTATGATAGCCTCTTCGCATTAAAAAAAATGCAGGAAGGATGCAGAGGAAACTAAAAAAAAAAAGTGTTTATGTAAGTTCAGGGAGAGGCAGGATAGAATAAAGTAAGAAATAAAAGTTGGGTTTGACTGGCACCAAATTTTTTTAATATAGAAGGAGCCCTGGTCATGCAGTGGTTAAAGCGCTTGACTGCTAACCAAAAGGCCAGTGGTTTGAAACCACCAGTGGCTCTGTGTGAGAAAGATGTGGCAGTGTGCTTCTGTAAAGATTTACAGCCTTGGAAACCTATGGGGTCGCTGTGAATTGGAATTGACTGGACAGCAGTTTTTTTGTTTTTTGTTTTTTTGGTTTTTTTTTTAGTTTTTTTGTTTTGTTTATATATTTTTAATATATATATGCTATCGTTAATAGGTAATACATTTCTATGATTCAGATAACAAAACAATATAAAAAGGTATATAAGGAAAATTCTTGATCCCGTCTCCACCCCTGTTCTCTTTGTCCCCCTTTTGCCTTTGGCCGTACCCTGCCTCCACCCAGGTAACCACTTTCATTAGTTTCTCATTTATCCTTCCAAGTTTCTTTAGGTAAATATGAATATGTATCACTTTTCTCCCTTATTTAATAAAATACAGCATCCTATACACACAGTTCTGAACTTCGCTTTTTTTTTTTTTTTTTTCCATTCATCAGTACATCTAGGTGGTCTATCAACAGATTTAGAGATTTCTCATTCTTTTTTGAAGTCACCTAGTGTTTTATTTAAACTCTCATGTATCTAATCACTGAATTACTTTTCTGTATTGAAAAAAAGGAGGGATGAGGGAGGAGAATGAGAAAGAATAATCAAACTGGGGAGAAAAAAGAACAAAAAAAAAAGTGGAAAGGAAGACAAGGAGAACGGAAAGATCCATATTTTGGAAAATGATAGAGTGTCAATGGCTGTCTCATGAACCACTAAGTTGAGTCAATACCTTAGGTTGATCTTGACTATGTGGGATGCAAGTAAATGTTCAAATGTTGTAGGCAGATCACTAGTGAATTTACTTGGTAAATAATGTCTAACGTAGCTAATTCTGTTTTCCTGTTATTCCGATCTTGTTGGGTAATATGAGAAAGGATAAGTAATGCAGAGGAAATCTCTTTACCACAAGCAGCTATATAAAACACATAAATCAAATGCTAGCTAATAGCTGTTCATTTTAATCGGTAATCTAGTGGATCTCATACTTTACTGTGCATAAAAATCACTTGGATGCCTGTTAAAAATTCAAACTGCTGGTCCCCAGAAAGATTCGGTAGATTAGGGGTTGTTGTTGTTAGGTGCTGTTGAGTCGCTTTTGACTCATAGTGATCCCATGTGACAGAGTAGAACTGCCGCATAGGGTTTTCTGGGCTGTAGTCTTTGATGTTGTTAAGTGCCATGGAGTTGGTTCCAACTCATAGCGACCCTATGTACAACAGAGTAGATTTGCCAGGTTTTTCTCCCACAGTGACTGGGTGAGTTCAAACCGCCAGCCATTTGGTTAACAGCCAAGTGCTTAACTATTACACCACCAGGGCACCTTAGATTGGGGCTGGGGCCGAGGAATCTTCAGTTTTAACAAGCCTCCCAGGAGAATCAAAGCAGTAATTCTCTGATCATACATTGAGAAACACTCTAATGGGCATCTGTCCAAAATCCAGACTCAGAATAATTTTTAAAATTCTTGGAATTCATTGGAATGAAAGTTTAAAAATTTCCATTACAGTAAAATTGACTTTTTTTTTTTTT